TTTCCTTTGCTTTCTTATCAGTCCATATTTTTAACTTTTATGTATTTCTTTGAGATTTTATGGGTGATATATGCTTTTCAGCATATGAGGTCCAATGAATTAAATAGTTCAACTGGTGTACCTCATCATTTTGAACTCTTTCAGAGTTATGTACCAGGAGGTAGTTAGCATCAACTCTTAATTTAGGAACCTCAGGATCTTCTAATTGCTCTGGAGTAATTGTAGCACGGGCCATTTTAGGGGGCTAATCTCCTCTAATGTCTAATAGCTTACTAGATTCTTCTTTTACTATAGTCACCATATAGCTTTGAGCAATTTGAGAAGCTTCCCTGTTAGGTGAATTTATGATTTCTCTAGCAAGTGGGTCAATATTTACCATTGGGAGAATAGTGGGTAAAGCATTTTTCTGGCTTGTCTGAAGAAGAGATTTATTTACAGGTTTGAGAGTAATGGTGGAGTATTTCACTGGTGTTCTGTATGAACTTTTTGGAAATATTTTGAAATCTGGCTTCTTTTTTTTTAAACCAATTATGAAACTTTCATAATCTACACAGGGACCAGCTTCAGACACAAAATTTGAAATTTTTGGAAATTTAATATCATAATTTAATTTTTGCTAAACTTGTTAAATTAAAAATGCATCTAAATGTTATGGTAGCATATTTAGAATAAATCTACTCATTTGACTTCTATACAAACCATAAATGCTCTAATAATATACTCATCATTAAGGCTCAAAGAGAAGTTTGAAAAAACTGTGCAAATATTATTTTTGTCTAAACATCCTTTAAATTGACATGCTAGGGCTTTTTTCCATTCCAAATGTCTGATATCCAAAAGAAAAACTAAATATTCTGCTCGTAAATCATAATTGAAATGTGGATGAACGAGACTATCTATTTGTCCAATATATACATATTGATACTTCTTATTTTTCCAACCTTCAATATCTAATTTTTCTTAAAAAGGTAAAAATACTAGAGGCATATTCCTTTACCTTTCACATGGAGATTTATTTCTGACTGGCGAACTGACATAGAGAATCTAGACTCAATCAGAGAAATTTTATATAAATCTTGCTTGTTGACTTTATGGAAACTAACATTACCTTGACCTGGTTAAGGAAACAGAGGAAGTTGATCTGGTTAGGGATTTTGGATTTTGCAGAGTCAATGTCTGTCTTTTTGTTGAAGAGGCCAAGGAATATTTGGTTCTTAACATCTTTTTCTGAGAAATTGGATGACCTGATAATTTGGGAGGCTCATTTTGTCTAGAATCTTCATCTTCTAGAAGGCTCTTTACCCATTGAAAATTGAGAATTCTTCATTTGTTTCTTGAGAGAAAGACATATTATCATCAGAATCAGATTCTTCTTCGAACAACTTACTTTTTTTTTCCATCATTTGTGCATATTTCTCAAATCCTAGAGGGTACTTAACATATGGTTTTTGGCATAAAACCCTTTGCCATATGATACTGTTCAATTTTCAAAACCATTTGCAAACAATTGCCCCCTGAATATACAAAGATTGCTGAAAAATCATCATTAAAAAGAATATTTGATGATAGAGCTTGTCCTCCAGCAATAAAAGGCCTTCATGCTTAAAAACATATCCCAAGTACCTTCCAGGATTTGAGACAAATAGATATTCTTGTTCATCCGCATTTCAATTATGATTTAGGAGCAGAATATTTAGTTTCTCTTTTGAATATCAAACATTTGGAATGGAAAAAAGCCATCGTATCTCAATTTAAAGTATGTTTAGACAAAGATCATATTTGCACAATTTTTCCAAACTTCTCTTTGAGCCTTAGTAATGAGTTTAATACCAAAGCATTTATGGTTTGTGTGGAAGTCAAAGGAGTAGATTTCTTACCAGGGTCTGTATATGTTACCATAGCATCTAGATCTATTTTTAATTTAACAAGTTCAACAATTACTTGTTCATAATTAGATTATGGTATCAAATTTCCAAAAATTTCAAATTGTGTCTGAAGTTGGTCCCTGTGTAGATTTTGAAAGTTTCGTAACTGGTTTCCCAGCTATTTTTAAATACTTAAGTATCATAGATTTCAAAAGAAAAAGTCGGTTTTCAAAATATTTCCAAAAAGTCCATACAGAACACCAGTGAAATACTTCACGATTACTCTCAAACATGTAAATAAATCTCTTCTTCATACAAAAGAGAAAAATGCTTTACCCCCTATTCTCCCAATGGTAAATATTGACCCACTTGCCAGAGAAATCATAAATTCACCTAACTAGGCAGCTGCTCAAAGCTATATGGTGACTACAACTAAAGAAGAATCCAGCCAGCCATTAGTCATTGGAGGAGATTGCCCCCAAAAGTGGCTTATACTACAACTACTCTAGAGCAATTAGAAGATCCTGAAGGTCCTAAATCAAGGGTTGATGCTAGCTACCTCCTAGTACATAATATCAACTCTGAAAGAGTTCAAAAAGATGAAGTACATCAATTGAACTATTTAATCCATTGGACCTCTTATGCTGAAAAGCATATGTCTGCCGTAGAGTCTCAAATTCAAGAAATAAAGAAAAACTCAGGAATATTAGCTGATAAGAGAGCAATGGAAAAGAAAGAAAAGAAGAAAAATTATACAAATCCGTGAGAAATATTTTCAAATTTTCTAGAGTAAACAAAATTACAATAAGAAGAAGAAAGATGAAGCTGCAAAAGCCTTCAAATTCAAGCCTCCTAGCTTTCTTTCACTTCTCCAAAATTTTGAAAAAATGAAAGAACCATCTTCAGTCTCTCAGATGAAAATGATGAGAATTGCAACTATTGAGCAATAGTAATTGCTAATTCACTCATGTTCTTGGAATCCAAGATAGTAATAAAAAGGGCAAGTAATAAAAAATGCTCTCATAAATAAAATGTTAAAAACTTTGAATCTTAATTAATCGTTTATGATCGTAATTTCACCTTGCATATAGAAATATAAAATGTAGTATTTTTATATAAAGTTTGGTCATTAATGTTATTTCAATTTGTCATTTTGCATATTTAGTAATTGTTTACGATTCAAAAAGTATTGATCATTAAAATTTGAATTTAATGACGTCCACAATTAGTATTTTTAAAATTTTGTCACTATTCTTATTCATATTCTATTTTAATTAACTCTCATGTATTAATTAGAAATGATCAAAATCAAATGAAAATTATATTTACTCTTTAAGAATTAAGGTATGTCATTATTTCTATTGTAGTTTTGAAAATCAAATTTTACTAAAAAGGCGATATACATTAAAATTTGTAAATTTTATTAATAAAAATTCTATAATATTAAAATTATACTTCAGAAATAGATTTTAGTTATGCATATCTCTCCTAGAAAAAAAATATCATTCTAATACCATTACTTGTGAGTAACAAATTTTCGCAAGTTTTTTTAATAAGAGGCTTTCATATCTTTCTATTAGTTCCACATATATTGAATCATAGTTAAGGCTAGAACTTGTGACATTCATTTGGATGATACACCTAAAGAAATTTCATTCACATTTAATATATTCCTGAAAAATATTATGTAATTGTTAAATTTGAGCCACTATTTAGACAGTCAGGTCTAAGTATTTATAGAAAGTCAAGAAAATGCACCTATATGAGTATTCTACTCAAGAGAGTATATATCCAATTTAATACCGTGGAACTTATTTTCTATCCTTTCTAACTCTCTGCAAGGAGGATTGAAAGCTTTCCCAAACTTGTCCGAAATTTTATACCTTCAAGGCCTCCATGCTAGTACATTATAGAGATGACAAAATGCAATAAATCCTAATACAACAAACTTAAATAAATGGGTTAGACATCTAAATTCATATGCGATAGCAATATATCTTTCTCTATTACGTATATTGAGATCTAGAGAGTTGCTTTTCAATCTTAAGATGTCATTTTCTCCAGGTACATATAATATATGTAAATTTTCTTTCTTATCACTTCGTAGTAGAGTTCTACGTGGCACTAAAATGTACATTTTGTCAAAATACAATAGTATTATCCAATCTCTCGTTTCATCTGACACCATCATAAACATTGTGCAGCACACACGCTTCTGCTAGTACTGTCTAGTGCACTATAGAAAATCATATATCAATTGAGGTCATGACCATTCAGTGAGATGATCTAAGGTGTAACTAGAGAGAGATCTCATCATTTCATTGGATGGTCTAATGCACTGGAAAATAAGTTACTGTCTTTGTAGAGCTCTCTCTCTCTCTCTCTCACACACACACACGCACACGCCTATATATATATGTAGAACTACAGATGCACCTCAAAAATCCCTTGGAAAAGGTTGTTTTAATGTTGAAAAACCTTTTACTTGATCATCTCGATATCGAGATATATGAATATGAAAACGAAAAAGATTTTAAGTCTCAAAAATAGTGCATCTGCAACACATTATCTGGACCGCCCATTTTTAAGATTTTCATATATTTATAGATCTACTTAATTTTAAGCATTTTTGGAGGCTAAAATTATTTTCAGATAATCCTAAGAATGTTTTATGCCAAAAATACATGTTATGATAAAATTTGAAGGTGCACCTTAATTGGATTGTTTAAGGATGCGACCTTATAGATACCACACCCTATATATATATATAGATATCTTCACAATGAATTTTGGGGTGGAAAATCTTGGGTTAAGTGTCTTGAATTTTTTGCTGAATGTGGTCAGAGTCATGGGTAAGTTTACCATATGTAATGGACCATGGTGCATAATACTCCAAGGCTACATTCACTATCTATTCCCACAAATGGATGGTTAGAAACTGAAATCAAGTAGATGTCCCTATGCACCTCGTAGTAGTTAATCTTGAATCATTCATCCACTGGGAGCAGGCAGTGGATGGAGGCATTGGAATACTATACACCATATTCCATAGGATTCTACTGGGCTTTTCTCAGGGTAATAGCTCCGAATTTTTACTCTTCATCTTTTGTTATGATATTATGTGTACTTTGTTAGTAGGGAGATGGGTGAGGCAAGTGAAGAAAGAAGTGGGTGCGTGCTTGGAGACAGGCCCACGAGCGATGTGGTGGTGAGGCTTCGAACAAAAGATGGGAGGGATGAGTGGTTTTATTGCCACTCCCACATCTTGACCGCCAAGTCCACCTACTTTGCAGACAGGCTCTCAGATGCTTGGCCCACTTGCCAAATCCTTGACTCCCGAAATTGCGTCGAGGTTCACTGCCCTGACTCCGACTACGATCACCATGTCTCCATGCTCCGCCTCCTCTATCTTCCTGAGGAATCTGTGACTGAAGCATGGCACAGTGTGCGCTCGACGCTTGGCATCCTTCGAGCTGCTCTTTGTCTAGGCTGCACACACATAGTCAATGGGTGTGTGGAATACTTAGAAGCAGTCCCTTGGGAAGAAGCAGAGGAGGATGAAATCTTGGAAGTCATTCCATCCCTCGGGCCTCGAGCAGAGCCCGTTCTGGCCCGGCTTCAGCCTGTTGAGCCCATTGTCCGTAACCGGGTTTTCCTCTCAGCCTTGCGACTAGCCACTTCACGGAACCCTTGCGAGCCTAAGTCCACTGCTCAGGAACAGCTTGATTACATGCTGACAGATGATGATGACCTACCCCTTGTAAAACCTGATGGTCAAATAAAGGTGGAGATTCAAAAGTGCATGGATGACCTCTTTGTGAGGTTCAGTGATGGGCTTAGCTCGACGCTTAGAAAGCCTGAGGACTCGTTTGAGGCCTCAGAGGTTCAGTTACTAGGGGATTTGGCAGATCTTGTTTGGGCTTGTAGGGTTTTGCCCAAGTTGGACATGATGAAGGGGTTCGTACATGAGTGGTATACGGTCTCAGACGAGGTCTTGAGGTTGGTAGGGTATGAGAGGTTGGCCTCTTGCGCAGGCGTCATGAAGCTAAAGGTGATTGAGGTGGCGGCTCGGGTTTTGGAAGCTGTTGCATATGGAACAGTCATATTGCCTGCACCTAAACGGCTCAGGTTGGTGAAGACATGGCTTCCCTTTGTTAGAAAAACAAAGCCCGAGCTTGACGTGGAGGCAGATGGTGAGAAAGAGGGGGAAAAAGAGAACCAGGGGGTTTGCAAGATGGATGCTGAACTTTGTCAAAGCATTGAGTCTGCCTTTGTTTCTCTCGTGCTTGCACTTCCGTCTGGGGACCAAGCTGATATATTGGCTGATTGGCTCAAGGATGATCAGGTTAGATTCCCAGACCTTAGTGAGGCTTTTGAGGTGTGGTGTTATAGATCCAAGAAGGCCAAAAGGAGGCTATCATTGGGCTTGAGTGGCTCGGCCACTGGCACCGCACTAAGTCACTGATTGCGATGATGGGATAGGATGGTCCTTTCTAGTTTATTGGTTGTTTGGGTTTTGGGCAAGCCATGATCTAACCGAGATTTGCTGCTTGCCTGTTCAAGCACCTGAACCTGGAGGCGTGGGATTGTATATAATTTATATGATTGATGGGTCTTAATTTCTTGGGAAATGAGGGAGAGCATCTTTTTTATTTTGATAATTGCAGTGTTATTTATTCGTTAAGAGGAGAGTTCTAAAGGTCAGATGGAGAAATTTTAACCAAGTATGCACAACGAAAGAACCAATGTTTTTGATTTGGGATTTTAGTAGGATTCAATTTTCGGACACGGTCTTGGTGCAGAAGAAGGAATCATGTCTTCACTAAAACTCGTGCAATGGAATTTTGCCATTGTAACGACTCGCAAGCTCCCTCCCTCATGGGTCTCTCTCTCTGTGACATCAAGTAATCAAGTAGTAGGGTGGCTCTGTTCTGTCAATCTTCCCTTGGTTCCCATCTCTGAGTCCCTTTCTAAGTATTAGTTCTCTTCTTTTTTTCGAACCACAATCATATGACTTTTTTATGGCAAAGGAATCGCAAGTCTTCCAGTTTCTTGTTGAAAGCTTCAAGAGATTATTACATTCATGCACCCCATCTCACAAAAGAAAAACAGTTTAAAATTATCCTCCCATCACTTTTTCTTGATCGAAAAATAGTGTAGCCTGCCGCCACCCCTTTGTTTTGGGCTGATATTCGGGGCACGCCATTATAATCATTGTGACAGGCAGTTGAGCCAAGTTTTGCGCATAAAATGCCCTCAAATGAAACCTGGAACGGCTATCGAACCTGGTCCTGTTTGAACCGACTGCTCCTGTCTGGTCGGATTTCATCGTCGTCAACATAACATTTGAATTGCCCCTTAAAACATTACTGCACGCACCCGCACAGAGGGAGAGAGCTCCCTGCCAAATAACATGCACGGTTAATTCTTGGGGTATTTCGCTCAATAAAGTTATAAATAAATGGAAAGTTATAAATAAATGGAAAACAAATATGAGGCGGTGTCCCCTGTGAAGGGAGCAGGGGAAGAGAAAAACAATAGGAAAAAGGAGTAGGAGAGCCAAAACTTGACGGCCAAGATCCATCCATGGTGTATGAGAGCCAATCTATGCTTATGATCACATCAAAGTCTTGAATTTTTAGGAGTATTAAATCCACTAGAAGTTCCTTTTCCTCTATCCTTATCACACAAGATTTGTATACTAGATTGGTATTAATTAAATTCCCCATAGGTGTAGCTATCTCTAAAATGTATTCCAATTGTTCTGGTTCTACCTTTAAATGGCATGTAAAGTGCGGTGACACAAATGAATGAGTAGATTCAGGATTAATCAAAACATGAGCTGCTTTTTGAAAAATAGTAAGAGTATTGTGGATCACCGATTTTGAGGCCTGAACGTCTTGCTGAGTGATCGCGAATACTCTTCCCTTCGTCTGAGGTTTTTGGGCTGCCTCTTCAGGCTTCGAATGTTGCTACATTTTTAAGGCAAGACAATTTTTAATCTTGTGCCTCAACTTCTCACATTGGAAACAAGCTCCAGTTTCCCAATAACAAGGTCTCATCCCATGTTTCTTCCCACATTTTTTACAAGGCTCTAGTGGGCTTTGAAATGGCGCGGGCCTTGGCCTATTGTTTGTTCCTTCAAATTGTTGTCGATTAGATGGTATTGGCTTATTCTAACTTCTCTGGTTTTTCCTCTTTTGGTAATCTTCGCAATCTTTTTCAACAATTTGGGCTCGATCTACTATTTTAGCATAAGTTCGTAATTTTAATACTGATATTCTGCTTCTTATGGCTGGCCTAGGGCCTCTTTCAAATTTTTTTACCTTTCTTGCCTCATCGTTGACTATATGTAGTGCAAACCTGGCCAATTCAGTAAACTTAACCTCATACTATGTTACTGTCCTGTTTCCTTGGACTAATTCCAAAAATTTCATTCCTTTTGATCTCGAACAAAATCTAGGAAGTACTTTTCATTAAATGTCTCTAGAAAGACTTTCCAAGTCAAGGGTTTATTTTCTAGGACTAATACTCCTTTTGCCATCCGCCACCAATGTTGGGCTTCACCTTCCAACATAAAGACTGCCAAAGTGACCTTCTTATCATCAAGACATTTCATTACCTCGAATATTTTCTCCAATTGTATAATTCATCCCTCAGCTTCTAGTGGGTCTGTAGCACCTTTAAAAGAAGGTGGGTTTATTTTTTAAAATTGTTTGATATTACACCCACCATTTCCATCAGCTGACTGCCTTGGTGTATTATTGTTTTCCATCTGATGTTGAATAAAGGCAACCATGTTTTCCAAGGCTTTATGAATTCCCTCCATATTAGCTTCAGCCATTTAGGATCTTGACCTTGTACTAATCTGTACAAACAATAAATATGACTTAGAGTAGATTCTTATCAAATTTCCTAAGAATCCGAAACCTATTGCTATGATACCATAATTGTCACACCCCAAGATTTATAACATTGAAATCCCTGAGATGTAAGAATCCATCTTTAACAAAAATGAAATTTATCTACTTCACCATTTATTGCACTAAAAAAGATTTTTCCATTTCTAAGAGTCTGTACAAAGTCTACTCATAACTAGTATTAACATGAAGGTTTAGATATACATCTATTGATAGGACAAATTTTACACTAGTGAATTTGAACAAAAATAGCAAAGAGAAAATTTTATCATAACTATGACTTCTTCCAAAGTTGGTCCTGTTGTGCCTTCAACTAGGGAGGCTGCAATTACCTTGAAAAAATTTTACCATAGTTTGATGAGTTTGGCTACTCAGTAAGTGACCATCATAGTCCTAAAAAATAATCATAGTCGAAAGATGTAAGCATTTTCAAAAAGGGAGGTCTATTAGAAACAATGCGAGCCAAAACGCATTTATGGATAACAATTTCATTTTCAGAAATGCACAATTAAACATAATCCAAATGATTGAAATGCATATAAGTATTTTAACAACAATGCATAACTCAAAGGATTTCATAAAATACCCTACTGGCGTCCCAAGTAGGTCACCTATATACTCCACCAGCATCTTGGATGAGTCCAAACAATTCTTGCAGGTCCAAACATACCTCACCGGCATCCCTAATGAGTCCAAATAGTCCATACCAGCGTAACCAGATAGGTCCAAATAATCCCTGCAGGTCCAAACATACATCACCGGCATTTTGGATGAGTCTAAATAGTCCCTATCGACGTCCCAAATAGGTCCACACATACTGAAATTAGCTCAGAAACTTTTTAACATCAGAGAGCATCAACATCGTATATTCAAAGTATCATTGAAATCATTAACAAGAATTCACTTGAAGCAATTTAAACAATTACTTTCATTGAAATATTTGTAAGTAATCAATCAAACAATTTGGATAAAAATTGAAGAAAGGTAGCAGATCGAACAGGTATATTTGAAATGGAATCCAAGAGGCAGTCGATTAATAATTTAAGAGCTTTTATAGAAATCCAAGGTTAAACACATAAATATCACAATTTTATTGAATGTAATTTCATAATTAATTATTTTACAAGAATAGGTAAAACTTATAGTATCTAAAATTCATAGACAAACAAAAATACAATTAAATGCAGAAATGCGTAAATGTCACAGTATTGGCAGTATCAAATATCAATGTTTCACATAATGATTTTACCAGAAATGACATCACTTACACATAAATTTTACAATGTCTAAATTTCTAATAAACAAAAATAATAATTTTAACAGAAAAAAATGATACCATATGCACATAAAATTACAGTATAAAAATGGTGAACAGACTATTTTTCAGGATAATGAGATCATTTAGCTATAATATTTGCGAGAGAATTTTCGATAAAATTCGACTAGAGAGAAGGAGTTTACTGCGCTTGTAAGAGGGAGAGCGAGAAGGGAAGTTATGTAGGGCGAGAGTCCTTACCCTCTTTCTATTTAACTCCTTAAAACCTATTATTATATTACTTTATTAAACTTCACCTCATACATGAGGTGTAATACTAATAATAAATGTGTAACGTTTAAAACCCACATCCACCAAAGGACGTGGCAATTGAAAGAAAAAGTGAAGGGTAAAAGGGAATAAGAGTAGTGAAGGTCCCTAAGGACCATAATGCCTATATGGACCATCATACTATAAAGAGCCTTTTTTCATTTTTATTTTTATTTGTTTTTATTTTAAGTTTAGGATTGTTACATGCATGACCCTAAACTGCTTATCCTCAGTCCATACTGCATGACCATAAACTCCTCATTCTTCGACAATTCTGCTTGACCCTAAACTGGTCAGCCTTGGTCTATACTGCATGACTCTAAACAGCTCAGGCACAGTCCATACTACATGACCCTAAACTGCTCAACCTCGGTCCATACTGCATGACTCTAAACTGTTCAGCCTCAATCCAGACTGCATGACCTTAAACTACTCAGCCTTGATTTTATACCGCAGGACCCTCAACTGCTCAGCCTCGTGCCATACGGCATTACCGTAAACTGCTCATCCTTGGTCCATACCGCATGACCCTAAACTTCTCAGCCTCGGTCGATATTGCATGACCATTAAGTGCTCTACCTCGGTCCATACTGTGTGACCCTAAACAGCTCAGCCTTGGTCCATACTGCATGACCCTAAACTGCTCAACGTCGGTCTATACGACATGACCGTAAACTGCTCCGCCTCGGACAAAACTGCATTACCTAAACTTGCAAGCCTCAGTCCATACTGCATGACCCTAAACTGCACATACTCGATCCATACTGCATGACCCTAAACTGCTCTACCTCGGTCCATACTGGATGACCTTAAACTGTTCATCCTTGATCCAGACTACATGACCCTAAACTGCTCAGCGTCGATTTATACTGCATGACCCTAAGTTGCTCATCATCGGTCCATAATGTATGACCTTAAACTATTAGGCCTCAATCCACATTACATGGCCATGAACAGCTCAGCATCGTTCCATACTAAACTACTCAGCCTCGATCCCTACTGTATGACCCTAAACTACTCAGCCTCGGTCCATACTGCAAGACCCTAAACTGCTAAGCCTTGGTCCATACAGCATGACCCTAAACTGCTCAGCCTCGATGTATCCTGCATGATCTTAAACTTCTCAGCCTAGGTCCATAATGCATGACCCTAAGCTTGTAAACCTTAGTCTAATCTACATTGCCATGAACTGCTCAACCTCGGTCCATACTGCAA